GTCGGAACATTGGTAAATAGGTCTGTGACGTCAAAACTGACTAGAATATCCTGAGATCTGATGTGTGGCTTTTTAAATTGTTCTATGAAAATGTTGAGTTGTGAATGTGATATTCAGTATTTCCTCGTATTGGAGATAAAATAGGTACCAGGAATGTTGCTAGTTGATGGCAAGGTGAGTTTATAGCACTGACAGTAGGCCTTAAAGGTATATTAGGTTTATGTACTTTAAGTAGTCCGTAGAATTGAGGGGGGAAATTCTTGTTGGTTCTTAAGTCTTTGGCTAGCTTCTCATTGATTAAATTTTGGTTCCTAAGTTTGTTCAGTGTTCTGTTGATGAGTCTTTCTGTCTTTTCTGTAGGGTCATTGGTGATCTTTTTGTATTGGTGTTCGTCTAGTAACTACTTGATCTTCAAGTCATAATCTCTGACGTCTAAGATGACTATACTATTTCCTTTGTCTGCTGATAGAATCTTGATAGTGTCATCCCGTCTTAGACGGTTCAGTGCATTGTATTCCTGTTTGGTGATGTTAGGTTTTGGTTTCTTGGCATTCCTGAAGATGGTGTAAGTTTGATGTCGGAATTGTTCAGCCATGGGTTTCGGGAGGTTTGGTGCAGCAGATTGCAGCTATGTCAACTGCTGGAACTGTGCTAGGATGTATGGCGAAGTTTAAGCCTAGGTTAAGGATCTTGTTTTCAGCATCACTTAGTAATCTCGAACTGTTGTTGTGTACTATGTTTGTAGTTGTAGGGGTATCTGTCTTGGTCAGTTTGTTGAACTTTTGGACTTTTTGATGCTTTTCAGGTTGGATGTATAGTGTATGGTGTAAAGTTTAAGATGTCCAGTGCTCTAGTGTCTGGGGTGAAAAGTTGTTGAAGCTCAGCATGTTGCGTTTCAGTTTTCTTGGTTAGGTCTATGTTCTTCTGTATGAAATCTTAGGAGGTTCCTGCTGGTATTGTCAAGAATTTTCTTTATCTTAGGAGTATTGGGGAGAGTAGTTATTTTGAGTATCAGAAAGTTTGGGATGATGTTCGAATCTCTGCAGCATAGTAGGAAGGTCATGTGATTGGCACGGTGTGCAAGCTTGGTAAGGTTCTTGTTGTAGTTGTTGATCTTCTTGATAAAAGCTGGTCCATAACAGCTCTTTAGGTAATATTTGATAGGTTGTTTAGGCAGAGTATTCATAATGAATCTAAGTTTCAAATGGACAGCAATTGCCTGTTGTAGAAACCTACAAATCCTGATAACTTTGTATTTTTGTAATTATTTGTTTACAATGAAAATATTAAAATTTTCTATAGATCCCTTACCTGTGGTTGTTTTTCTCCATCAAGAAGTGTCAAACAGTTTTTAAGCAGCTTACAAATGGTTCCTTCCTTATGTCTATCATCAGCAGACTCCTTCATGTTACGAGCTACTTTGTAAAGTAGCATTGCCACAGGAAGTTTGAAAGGATTTTGTGATGGATCATCCATCAAATCATCACAAAGAGTCGTCAAATCATAAAGCTTAACTACATCATCATTCTTTCCTACAAAAAAAAGATATACATCTTTTTTTTTTGTTTCTTTACCATACAGAATAAGAAACACCAACATTTTACAAATTAAGACTTATAAGCTAGTACTGAAAAATCCAGTTTGTCTTACTTTTTTAATATTTAAGTTGCTTAGTTAGAATAGAAATATAAAAACACATGCAAGGTAAAATAATACATTATTTAGACAATTAAAACTATATTAGCTGGTTTGAAAAACAATCTACCTTTTTTAATATTCTATTATTTTCAATGAATAAAAAAATGGTATGTTAAAATAAGTGAAAAAGTTAAGTAAAATGAACTAACAGAAGATTTTGATTTCTGGAAATAAGTTAGCAAATTTAAAATTCCATTCACTAGCTAAATAAATTATCATAAAGACAATGTTTGGAAATATAGAAGGATATGTATGAATTAAAACTTCTCCTACTGATTATAATTATTATCTATAGTTTAAAAAACATTTCATCAGTGCTAAAAATTAATCACTTAATTTTAACAGTACATGTAATCCCTAAAAAATGCTCATAAAATATGATTCATTAACTTAGTTTATTACGATAATTTATATCCTTATTTTTTAAACCTATTAGACCATACTTAACTATCCTTCCATCTTAAATCAACCATAAATGTTTTGACTTCAAAAGATATTCATACCCTTAAACAACCAATATGTGTGTCCACTTTTGGTAGCATTTGATTTTAGAAATGACAGAATATTTTGTGCAATATCTTTGACAACTTTTGGAGAGAATTGGGAGTTTTCGAGCTGAGGGATTTCTTCAGTTTTCAATAATTCGTATTTCTGTAAAGAAGCAAAGCTACTCACATCTACTGAATAAAGATGTGAAACTAGTAAATATAAAAAAATCATTTACTTGTTAAATAAGATAGGATATGAAAACTAAAACCATTTTATAGGATGCAATATTACTCTTAAGTACCATCTAAAAAAAGAATAAAAAAGAAAAGTCTCTTACAATCTGAGTATTACTTCCCTAAATAGAGATATAACTTCAAAAGATGTCATTACTAAAGCTATAGATTACAGTACGTAATAAACTAGGCTGTACCTATCTTTGGAGACTGTGCCTACTCTTTATATCTTAAAAAGTTAAATAACCATGAAATAATGCCATTTGAAGAGAAACAATACAGCCTGATATATGTAATATAACTTTAAAAGTATTATCAAAACCAGCCTGAAATACTTAAACAATAACACCTTAGTGGTAGTAACAGCCAGCCATACATTATTTGATCATCATACTGTTGGTAACAATGGTTTGACATATAAGTACCTAGTAATAAGATTAGTTTGTTTGGTTGGTTTGAATTTCACACAAAGGTACACGGGGGGCTATCTCCACTAGCCATTCCTAATTTAGCAGTGAAAAACTAAAGGGAAGGCAGCTAGTCATTATCACCCACCACCAACTCTTGGGCTACTCTTTTACCAATGAACAGTGGGACTGACTGTCACATTATAACACCTCCATAGCTGAAAGGGTGAGCATGTTTGGAGTGATGGGGATTAGAACCCCCTGACCATCAGATTGCGAGTATAGTGCCCCTAACCACCTGGTCATGCCAGGCCAAGTAATAAGAGCATGGCATGCATTACCTGAACATCATACTGTTAGTAACAATGATCTGACATACATGTATCTTGTTAAAAGAATACTACCATCTTCTCGGTAATAACAACCAGCCTCATACACATAACCTGAACATCATACAACTAGTAATACCAGCTTTGGGTATGTTCTGTGTAACTACCATATTCATCCCACTACCTCCCCCAAAAAATGCAAAACTATGTACTATTTTGTGCAATTTCTTTGTCTTTAGACACACTGATCAGGACTTGTATTTAAGTGGTGAGTTGACTGATGAAATTAAATTGTAGATGGTGCAGATCTTATATTTTTATATTTGATTTTTATTACTTAATTATCACAATGTCTTGGATAGTTAAAATTAAACAATTCACAATGCAAAACACTATCAAAAGTATCAATAGTCAACACTTAAATTTCTCTGCCTACCAATAAATGTCTTGGAGAACATTAGCCAATCTGACAATGAAATTTTTAAAGAAATATTACTATTATGTGGCCCTATTAGACTATGAGTACTTTATGAAATGTTATTAGTATGTCATCCTATTAGGCTAATAAGAATTCTATGAAATGTTACAATTATGTTGTCCCATTAGACTAATGAGTTCTTTATGAAACGTTACTATTATGTTGTCCTATAAGACTAATGAGAACTTTATGAAATGTTACTATTATGTGGCCCTATGAGGTTAATGAGTATTTTACAAAATGTTACTGTTATGGTGTCCTATTATGATAATGTGTACTTTAAGGAATGTTATTGTTATGTGACACTATTAGGCCAAAAATTTCTTTATGATGGTGACAATAGCTTGACAAACTAAATAATACCATCTTAATGGTAACAAGTCTCACATGCTAGAATACCTGCTTGGTGTTAAAATAGACATATGAATAATATCATTTTGATGGTTATGAGGGTCTGATTTACATGAGTAAATCATACTACTGGTTACAACACATATTAAAACAATTCTATCCGGGTGGTAACAAAAATGTGTTATACATAAGTAATACCATCCTGATAACAACAGCAGGCTAACCCACCTAAATAAATCACACTACTAAACATTATTGTAAGTTCCTTACAAATGTGAGGAAGTGAATAACATCACTAATGTTGTTGTTTTAAGATTATAAACAAAGTTTCCCTCCTTATTTACGGGAAGTGGTTGAGTTTCTTAAATTACATTTCAAGATGTCCTGACATCATATGTGACACATAATAAAACTGATCAATGAATGTGAGTATTTTGTAAGTTAACCTACCTAAATCTTTGGAATATTTACCATTGCTATTAATATTTTGTGTTCTAGACAAATAAACTGGAATTCAAAATTGTTTATCTTAAAGTTTCACCATAACATTTACCTGGTACCAAGAAAATTATTTAGCTTAGATATTGCTGAAGAAGTTGAATATATGCTGAAGATATTGTTTGGGTTTACAACAGTTCAATAGTACGTAACAGAGCTAAATTATCAAGGATTGCACAATATTCCACAACTTTTCAAGGGCTTTCTGGATTGAACCATATATTACTGATGTAGTTTAACATATGAAGAATCCTTGACTTGAAGTGTTTCCTCATTCAAACTACCTCCCATTCAATAGTACGTAACAGAGCTAAATTATCAAGGATTGCACAAAAACAATATTCCACAACTTTTCAAGGGCTTTCTGGATTGAACCATATATTACTGATGTAGTTTAACATATGAAGAATCCTTGACTTGAAGTGTTTCCTCATTCAAACTACCTCCCATTAAAATACTAGTTGTTTACCATAAATCCTCATGCCTAAGCATATAGATGGACAGAGGACCTGTTTCACATGTTCTTTAATGCATGTTTGAAGGTTCTAAATGTTGAACCTATTGAGAAAACTGAATTATTCCTCCAACCACACAATGGCATTCTGTGGTGTGCTACAGATGCTGTCTAATTTGATGTCATCATATGCAGCACTGACAGACCCAACACAAACACACAGTTTTCAGTCTATACCATTAGGCTTCACTTTCTCTAACAGTTATCAGTCAGAGTGTTGGAATTGTGGAAATTCTGCTATTTAGTTCTCAACTGGAATGGTCATGGTATATTAATGGAGCATAAGTGAAGCAGGCCAGCTGTAAAGCTTACATCATTGCATCTAAAGGTAAACACATGGTATTCTGAGTATCTGTGGCCACAGGTTGAGGTCTGTTTGACCTTAACATAGGAATGAGAACTCAGTGAAGTGCACAAGAAGCTTACTGTTGTGTTTGTAGAATCAGACAGTCAGTTGTGTTTCATATTATCACATAAATATTAGTTATGCACATCTATAAAAAGTACTCACCTAGCAGGCTCCATTGGAGCACCAGGAATGTTGTCAGCACTGAAGCTGAGTATATGATAAAGGATCAACTACTATAACCTTTGGAGAGAGTTTGATAGTCTTTAGTGACTATTAAAAGGAAAGAGAAAGAATCTACTACATTATTCATGGTGGGTGAATGCAGATAGATGAATGTCTGGACCATTGGGTCAACACACTAGATCTTGCTGGTAAGTAAGATGGAATGATGAAAGTAGACCTAAGACTGCTTTTTTGCACTCAGGAATATTGTATAAATTGTGCACCATACCATTTCGTCAATGTAATTCACCCTAATGTTTTTGAGAGGCTAATAGGGCACACACTTTAAAAACCATCATGGGAGGATTGTCTTGTCTATCTGGATGACATTTTCAATTTTGGTTGTACATTTAAGGGTATGTTCTTAAGTTATCAAAGATGCAGGAATAAAATTCAAACCCAGAAATTATGCTTAACATAGATGGAAATGGAGTTTCTCAGTCACACAATAAACAAGGATGGAGTGGCCAATGGGATAGTTTAGACACTCTATCATCTGCTATGCCCAAAATGAAAAATTGCTATAAAGGGAAAGCTCCAACAAAGAGTTGTAAGTGTGGTAGTTTGGACTGATAAAAAGTTCCTTAGCAGCAACAGCTAGGGGGTCAACTCTGTAGTTCAGTTCTTAGAGCACTTGGTGTGCAAGAGGTTTCCGAACCACTCCAAAGCCCAGGAGATGCAAAATTACTACAAAAAATACTGGTGTCAAACTAGTTATTGTCCCATGAGTCTGACATAAGGCCTGAGAACATATCTTGCTTATGAAAGGAAAAGAATATGGTAGTTTGAGCAGTTAAGAATGCTTTTCTAACAAGTGCTACTGAGTTAAACCTTTAGCTCTGTTGGTAGAGCACTTACCCTTTAGTGAATGATCCCAAGTTTAAATTTATCTTGAGGAAGAAACAAATATTGGATCACTATATAGAATCTCCCTTTTAGAGAATCATCTGGATATAGTTGGTCTTCTGCCCAAAAGTGAAAAACGTATTTGGTATGTACTGGTCATAATCAATTACTTCACCAAATGGGCTGAATCTTATGCAATGATTAATACTGTATTACAACCCCATGCTGATGGCTCAACAATGAATAGCATGATCTACTTATACTTAAATGTTATTGGTTTATTGCTCTTTAAACCATGTATAACTATTATTCATGCCATTATAAGTTGTAAATCACTTGGGGAGTATGGAGCTCACATTATGCAATTGAATTACATTACCCATGAGCTACTCCAAGCTGCTCATTTGTGTGCCTCATAAAATATTTTTATCATTACTTCTTTTACCTAATCTAACTTTAACTAACCTAAAGCGATTCCTATTTTTACATTTTAGTTACTTTTATAGTAATAAAGAATGAAAAACACGAAAGACAAGAAATAAAGTAATTATCGGGACTTTCTTTTTTTTTACTGTCGAAAACACTTAACCCTACTTTTTATACTATTTATTGCCATATAAGTTGTAAGTCACTAGGTGAATGAGTAGCTCAAGTTACCATATTGAATGAAATAATGTACAAGCTACTCATGAATATTCCTCATGGAGAACTGTTTTTTTTTAAATATCTGAGGGTTATTGGCAATAATTGCTTAATTCATGTCAATTTGGTTTTATACACAGTTTCTTTTATTAAATTCTACTCATTTTAATTTGCTAATGTGACTGTTGGAGTCTTTTTGTTTAATAAAGTTTCCCTTTTTTGTACAAGTTCATGGTTCTTGAATGTGGTCATAGAATGAGAATAGTAAAAATTTCATTTGTGTGTCCAATTCTGACATTTAACATTTACCTTTTAAGCGTTTTTTTGACTGTTGGGGTGTTTTGTTTAATAAAGTTTCCCTTTTTTGTACAAGTTCATGGTTCTTGAATGTGGTCATAGAATGAGAATAGTAAAAATTTCATTTGTTTGTCCAATTCTGACATTTAACATTTACCTTTTAAGCGTTGGATCCATGATGGCACTAAAATAGAGGGGGCAGGAGGAGCAAAGCAGTTGAAAACAACTGTAAACTTACAGTAATTCTCACCTCAGAATAAGGTTACATGCAACAATGAAAATTTCATAGAGCTTAAACTTGTTCGTCTGTATCTTGCATCATTGCATTGTTCCCCTGGGCAGTATGTTATACTCAAGAGCAGTGATATTATAGACTTCTACAAGTTAGTATAAGCTGGAATTAATCTTTCTTTCAATATGCATATTGAAAATGGTCATGAGATAAATAATCCACCCAATACAGTAATAACCCAGTACACTTTGTGTTAGCATGGATATCAGAATTATTATTACTCTTTGTTTTACATGTATGCTTGAGTCTTCTTCCTTTGCAGTCCATACTTATTGTTTTTAAATCACTTACTGAATCTTTGTTTACTGGACATATTGAACACCATTGAACCTGAATATCCTCTGATAAGAAATCAAGGTTTCATGTTAACTTTTACCATTGTTATAATTCACAAAAATTGCAATTCAAGTTATGAATGCTTAGATTACAAGTAACTGTTGCCACACGACAACTATTAGCATAAATTGTACCTCAGAAATGCCCTCAAGTGAAAGAATAATATTTAAACATTACTGTTTGGCTATACTATAGGCATAACAAACTTGCTATTAAAATTCAACTTTTTCAAATGTGAGTCATAATCCACCAAATGGTTTATGAATTGTCAACTACCTCACAATAACTGCAAAATGTAGGACACGTTTTGTTTGAAATTATAACACAGTTTTATTCTCCACAACTTCTTGAAACTCTCAGCCAACCAGAAAAGTATAAGCTGGTTACTAAGGCTTTAACCCTTTCATGCTGACCTCACTTTCTAAAACTCCTGTTTGTGTATGTCACAAAGTTTTACTGAGTTAGTCAAAATTTAAACAACTTTACTATCAATATATTTAATGAAATTAGCATTATCAAATATGTGAAAATTCAAAAACGTTTTATATTATATAAATTTGAATTCCTTTATTTCAAAAGAAACTTTTAAATAAAAACACTTAAACTTCAGTTTTGTTGTCAGGTGATGCAAGAGCCATCCCACATCTTAATGTTTTTTCTCTCTTACTTGAATAATAGCTCATGTACAGAGTACATGTATGTCTACGGTGAATCTACTCATACAGCATATTCATCTATTCTCAGTTTAAATTCCATCAGGTCAACCCAAAGACCACGAAAAACGAATTTGCTCTCCCCATGACAGTAGCCATATCAACCTTTTTATGTGAACATGTTATTTCAAGTAACATGTACTTATTTAATTGGCAAAAGAAAGAGCTCATTTTAAACTGGTGTGCAATATTCATTACCAAGTCCATCAAACAGCCAAGGCACTGTTTGCTGATTTCGTTCCTCGCTAGCACTTAGCACTGTCTCTCACCTAGATACATATTATATACATATTAGTTAGATAGACAGTTAAGTTGTATTCGGGTTTGACTTTTAGTATTTTAGTTAATTGTGAACTATTTATGTTTTAAAATTCATATTTGAAAGGTTTGATCATTTTTCAATATAACCAAAACTTTGCCTCAGTATGCAAGAGTTAACTTGGTTAATTTACTACACAAGTGCAAAAATATTTTGTTGAAGGATTGCATATCTCTGCCAAAGATACTTTAATATGCCCGAGGGCATCCTTTGGCATGTCATAAAAGGGACAGGAAAGGAAAATAAAACATTAACAAAGAGTTAAAAAGTATGCACAAATCTCTATTTCTTAATTTTAAATATTTCATTGACTGTATGTTGATGATAATAGCTACACAAACAATTTCATCTACTAGTTTTATTTCTGGAACAAAACTTTAAGAGAGTTACGTGACCTATTTGCATTCTAAGTAGGTCAACATCAAAGGGTTAAAGTCATAAGTACAGAATTTCCATTCCTTTCAAAACGAAACAGTAAGTGATAGAGCATTTAACAAATCTTTTAAGAAAGAAATATTTACTTTGGAATTCAAAACATGAAAAATATTTCAACAGTTTATATATTTGTTTGCAATTAAGCACAAAGCTTCACATGAGCTATCTGTGCTGTGCCTACCATGAGTATCGAAACCGTGTTTCTAGCTTTGTAAGTAAGCAGACATACCGATACTTCAACAAAGATGAATAAAGAATCTGATCAGATTCAACAATAGCTAAGCAACTTTTCACATGTTGAAATCAGTATGATTTGCATATACAGTCAAAATATATTGTGATTGGTGAATTTCTTGCCCAGCGCAATGTACTACAGTGACAATTTCATATAGCTTACACTTGTTGAATCTAAATTGTTCAGAGCTGTATCTCTACTGTTACTGTACACATGTGCCAGGATTCAATATTATGGTTTTAATGCAACTTTTGTTGGGAAAATGTACAAAGATTTAAAACCATTTATCTTATCTTTTGACAAAGATATGGTCTGAGGCTCAAAATTATTTATATTAATTATTGTTACAAAAATGTATCAGGGTTTAAGAAAGCTGTTTACCTAAACACTTCCTAAAAATATGTGCCAGGATTTCAGAAAAATGTTTAGTTCAATAGTCTGGAATATATACTATTATCATGCCCTTAAATACCAATTTGGGGAAAATAATTTTAATAATGCTGGTTACAGCAACAATATGATATAAACATAAACTCACTACTTTGGTAATGATGGTCTGGCATAAAGATATCAGTAACAAGATACTTGACATAAACTTACATCCTGCTAATAATAAGATGGTGCAAACATTACATCATGTAAACATCATGCTAGAAACAATAATCTTGAATAAAGGCTATAATATATCGCTAATAACAACAACATGAAATAAACATTATACTGGTAACACCAGTAATATGGCATATATATATGATTGTTATAACAACTTTTGTGTGAAGTATTTAGCAAGACACGTGGTAAATTAAAAAACAAAAAAACCTCAATTTACACACATACCTGAACAATACCATCTAGGTGATAGCACATAACTACTTCTGGGACATTGCACATCAAGTTGTCAAGCCAATAATCCAGTCCAGTGAGTACATTGATAGGTTTCTTCGTGTCTCTGGATATTAACACAAGAGAATTATTACCTCAACACACAGTCTTATACATTTGTGCAACAATGTGAGCTGCAGACTTTCTTTACAATTACAAGAGATTTTTTTAGATAAGTTTAATAGGAATTCAAACTTTAATTACACAAAATGAATTATCTATTTGGCAAAAATGCTACAGAAATACTTTCTACAGAAACTTTAGTGACTTAAGGTTAACTCAACAAAAAATAACAACATATTTTAATAATTATTCTTATCTAATTATCAATAAATTCTTAAAAATGTTAGTGTATACTTACACACATACATTACATATACATTATTCAAGTTTATATAAAATATACACATTTTTGAAGATAATACATGACATTAAACTTCAAAAATGATTCTGCAAATATTGTTTTATTTCAAGTATAATACTTTTTTTATATATATTTATAAAAACAAAAGATACATCTCAAACATTATGCTTAGAGCAAATATAAATTATGGTTAAATGTTTTCCACTATTTAATTTACATGTGCCATATTCTTTAAAAAATCAACTCATTTGTTTAATCACAGGTTCTACAACATACCTTAGCCTTAAACTCACAGCTGGATGTGTTCCTCCACCAAAGATAGGCATATCTGTTCCAATCAGCATGCGAATATCCTCGAAATTCCACAAGACATTTCTTAAAAATTCATGACTCTCTTTCAGTACTTCTTCCTACATAGCACAGAAAGTGCATTATTATCAATTCAAAAGTTGATTTAAGACTGCACAATAAGAAAAAAGCTTCATAAAAAGGCTAAATATAATACAAGTTTCTTTCTTGCTTAACTCTTTTACCCTCTAGAAGCTGGGATGTACAAAATAAACAGCAGTAAATTTCAACAGTTTTCTACTAAAACAATTTAACATGTACAGTGCTCACCCTGCCAATCAACATTTGTATATATTTTTTAAAATATGTGATAAAAATCAATAAATGTATTATTTGAGAAAAAAAAATCAACACACCTAGCTCAACAGTTCAAACACAACGTTTTATTTATTCACGAGTATAAGTAACAAGCATGTGCCAATAAACTTCTGCAACTTCCACCCACCATGCTTTAAACTTATACTGCAGTTAGTTTCCTTACTTGATTTCCGATTATTGGATTAATCACTGTTTAACATTTTTGGTTTGACACATTTAATTGCCACTATCTGCAGCAGTTTATTGTGTAAACATGCTATTGATTATTCATTCAGGCAATTTAATAATTTATAGCATCAAACAAGTTAGTGCAACTGCCCAATAAAACGTTTTATTAAAAGAATGTCACATGGTCAAGAAGCATTAACCCTTGCATTCAAAATTTTATTGAAGTACTATATTTTATGAATGTATACTTTGTAACAATTATATATTATTATTCTAATTTTAGTATTATACATTAGTTAATTTCTTAATTTAAAAGCAAATATAAAAAACACACCTAAATATCGATTTTTGTGTCATGTGGAATGTTGAATGCAGAATTGGTTCACACAAGATATTTGTGATATCCAAATACAAAGTCTATAGTTTCTTATGAATTAGATACTTAAATTATCAATACTGATAAGCTAGAATATAAAATAAGAACCTTCTATCTTTTCTATTTTCTGAAATATTAATATATTTATTGAATCAACCAAAAATAATAAATATATATAATGTACAATTTTATGAGATTTAAGCTACTTAGACTAAGCATTCATGTTTTCGTGTTATAATTTGTAACCATTCTAGAACAAAAAAAAGCATAAATTATATTTATTTCTTAATTTTTTATGGTGGTTACTAGGTTGGTCAAATCCAGTACTGAAATTCAATAGTGAAAATATCAGATAAAATATAAAGTATTTCCTTTAAAAACGTTTGATAAGTATCTGGAGGTTATAAAGACTTCACATATAAAATTGGAAAATTTTCTGATGCATAAAGGTATTTTTAATCTTAAAATCAAAATTATTTGCACGTTGGATAGTCAACACTCGAAAAGAAATAAAAGGCAAGAGAAAAACATTACTTCTTAAAACTTAATAAAAAAAAAAAATTGATATTTTGTGTACAAAAGTCTTGTAATGTTCAATGATAATCTGCAAAATTTTGTGAAGATATGCTTACTAATTTAAAAGTTATAGCATAAAAATTATAACAAGCACAAAATGGTGACGAGGTTGGTCCTTGGGTCTGAGCCCATGCTGAAAGAGTTAACTATTCGTTTCCCATAAATAATTGAGGAAATTATAAGTTCCATTACTGTAATAACCAAAAACAGCTGATTACATGAGTCTGACTACAGATGCTTTCTTTATGTTATTAGAAATATGACTAGCAGACTATTAAATTGGAATTAACTGGTAAAGAGTTAAAGGAAGGTACAAATAAAACATATTTCAACAAGTTGTTTTTTTAAATTTTACACTCAAGTTACAATTGCATTTTCATTTATTCAAAAGGAGAAGGTATACATTAACTATTAATAAATTTACTTCATATAGTATTTACGTGTGTTTAACTTGGTTAACCTTCTGAATGCAGGTAATGTTAATATGCACATGGCACGACTTTTTATTCACCTTACTCAGATGACTCAAAAAGGTCACATGTGGGAATGGTAATGAGCTACTTTATTATTAATGTATACCAATAAACTTGGCATCAAAACATAATTAATAAACAAAATTTCAATTTGACTACAATAATGGGAGACTTACAAAATTATAGAAGATGAAGTACATTAAACAGTTGAAAAGGAAGAAAAAAAAAGGATTGGTTGAAAAATCTAAAAATCAACAATAAGGATTTCTTTAAATACATTATGGGTTGCAAAATGTTAGGATAGGAGCAGGGGCCTTTGAGCTAGGGATGATAATGGAAGGCTTGTTTCTGAGGATTATGAGATAGTTAGGTCATTAAATCAAACTTTTTCTTCAATTTCTACTAATGAAGATTTAAGCAGTATTCTTCATCCTAAATATCTGCTACTCCAAAACAATTCCATAAGTAGAGGGCAGGTGCTAAAAGACTGGAACTTGGCTAATGCTTTTCAAAGGAGGTTATAAAAACTGTCCTGCTAAATCTAGGCCTATTAGTCTGAGATGTATTTGAAAAAAATTTTGAAGATCTCATGAAAGATGCTTTGCAAAGTCGTTTGACAAAGTTTATAATTTTGTTGGATAATCAATACAGTTTCACTTAGGGAAAATCTTGTTTTCCTATTGTGAATTTCTTTGAAGATGTTACTTCTTATGATGATAAGGGTAAAACAGTGAATTTGGAATATTTGGATTTTAAGAAAGCATTTGAAAAGATGCTAAATAAAAAACTTCTTAAAAAATCTCTAAGTGTGGGAGATAAGCTGATTTGCTGGATTTAAAAATGGCTATGGGGTAGAAAGCAGAAATTCATTATAAAGAGTTCAAACTTCACGAAAGTCACAAGTGGGGTACATCAAGGCTCATTGGTGAGACCTTAGTTCTTTTTCATTTACATCAATGACACGGATAGAGGAATGGTCAATAAATTGCTTATATTTGGTGATGATATTAAGGTCTTGGGTGTTGCTTGATATGAAGAAGATGCTACTGCTTTAAAAAAAAAAGAGTTTAGATCATTTGGTGAAATTATAATATATGTAAGATAATGCAATGTGGGTTATAATAACATAAATAGTAAGTATAAAACAGCCATTAGGATTATACATGGAATGGAATAATTGTTATAAATGGACAGGTCAAGATCTCTGAAAAAAAAAGCAGAAGAGTTAAAGGGTGTCTGAATCAAGCATTCAAGATTGTTAAGAGAATTGATAGTAATAAGGCATCATCTTTTTTTTCATATCTGTTGGTAAGAATGGTGGGACAAGGGGCCAAAAATATCAATTTTGAAAGGGGTAGTAGCCATCTTAGGCTTAGAGAATTTTACTTTTCTAACAGTGGTTGCCTTCAGATGAGGTGGATGCAGCAATGACCAGAGCTGAATGATATTTTTTTTTAAGTAGATTGGTCGACCTTAATGGGCAAAAAGTCCTCTTGATGTCTCTCAAATTTTATATAAAGATAAAAATTACTATGTCTCACATGTAACATTTAATACTGTTACGACATCGAGGTCACGTGACTAGTATCACGCCACGTCATTCTCGAACTTTCACGTCTTTTCCTTAAATCTCGTGATCTTTCTCAATATAGTGTAGTCTTGTATATATAAGACCGGCCACGAAGTGATGGAGAAGTATTGTGTAAGTGAATGAGTAATTGAATGTGTGCGGACAAAATATTGTTGGCCACGTGAGACGTGAGTTATAGCATTGCTATAGAGCGACTGTTGAAATTAAGTGTATCGTAAAGTTGTATTCGGAAAGAATAAACCAGTTTTATTTAAGAAAGGACTTGTGTCGCTAAACTTTCGTCGGAACGAATTTACGGAAAATTAATTAACAAATGGAGACATAACAAATTGGTGTCAGAGAGTTGGACAGAAATAAAAAAAAAAAGAAGAAGAAGAAGATGGAAACGAGAGGCGGAAAATCAAACTACAGCTTAGCAGATTTGATGGCAGCAATACAAGAACAGCAAAAGAAACAAGAAAAATGAGAAAATAAACAAGAAGAACGAGAAGAGAAATTACAGCAGTTGTTGGAAGAAAAAGAAAAAAAACAAGAAGAACGAGAAGAGAAATTACAGCAGTTGTTGGAGGAAAAAGAAAAGAAACAAGAAGAGAGACAACAGCAGTGCAAAAAAACCTGCAACAGAGGCAGCTCGAACAGCAAAATAAACAATAAGAGAGATTACAGCAGTGGTTGGAGGAAAAAGAAAAGAAACAAGAAGAACGAGAAAAT